CCATTCTTCAGTTTAAGTTTAGAAATCTACTACAAGACACCTAATTAAATTAAACAATTACTATGATACCAACTTGTAACACTCGATTTTTAATACAAAGTACAACCAAAAAATTTTAGACAAAATTGCAAAAATGGTCCTTGTGGTATGCATTTTTTTGGGGTTTTAGTCCAAACCACGACTTTTTTGGATTGATGGTCCTTTTAAGTTAGTTTCGTTGCGTTTTTGGTCCTCAGAAAATTGAAAAGACTAAAATGCCCTTCTGATACATTTTTTATGGTTTTTGCTATTTAATTTAAAGTTTTATTAATAAAAATTATAGGGCCCACCTCTCTCTCTCTCTCTCTCTCTCTCTCTCTCTCTAAACACACACTTAACACTATCAAGAACACATACGCACAATCTCAAGAACACATCCACCTCCATCTCCACCGCCCTAAAATGCCCTTCTGGGTAATGGGTTTTCAAACGCTCATTTGGTTGATGTTCTTCAAGGAAGGGTTGCATAATCTGTTGCGTTCTTTAATCATGAATACTTTTGTAGTTTTCTATTTATAAACATATGCAAAAGGCACACGCCATTGTTCTGTAATTTCAAGATCTGAAGAAACAATTTCTTGATTATTGTTTTCTATATTTTCCAGTTGTGAATTCATGGAATCTCCACAATCTGTTGCATCGCCATTGAAGAAATATGTTGTATCACCATTGAAGAACTTATCAATTTACTCCGACCCCAAAAGCCACAATCTTAATCATTCCCCAAAAGCCCTGAATTCACATAAAAAAATCCAACCCATCCCTTGGTGTTCTTGATATCACATTCATCAAGCTAGAACATTCAAAACATATGTATATACCACAAACAAGATGTTTATGCCAAAACTACCCTCACTACCAACCCTAAAAAATCCGTCACCACAAACACAATAAATGGAGGTGGACAAAATCTTGTTTTCAACAAAAAGGTTTCAATCGATATCCAAACCTCAAATCTGAAACTTGAAGAACACCACACACCACCGATGATGTATAAACGGTGCATATCTAGGAGTGAGGGTAAGAGAGAGAGCGGGCTAGAGGAACCACAGGTCGCCGGAAAAGAAGATTGAGATCAACCACATGTCGCTGGAGAAGACGCCTGAAATAGACATCCACACTCCATTACCCCCACCTTCAACCCAACGCCTAATGTGTTCTTCGAATATTGAGCAGTCAATGATGGCTTTCGAGGTGCATATTGGCAGGGCAGAACAAACTACAAAAAACCCAGAACTCCAAGAACACGAACCCATAAATTAAACTGATTCAAGAAGACGAACACTAAAATCGATTTTAGATCTAACATCGTTCGCATAACTTTGATGTCGATCCCCTTTATTTGTAAGAAACCCTAGATCGACCATAAACCAGGTTCATCTATGGCAGATCTGGAACATAAAGTTTTGATGTTTGATTTCCTTTTCTAATCTGGACTTGTGTCTAGTGTTTCTAATTTGGAATTGTGTCTAGTGTTTCTAATTTGGAATTGTGTCTAGTGTTTGTTCGATTTGAGAGAGAGAGAGAGAGGTGGGCCAGTTTTATATTTAATAATAATAATAATTTTAAAAGTGAAAGAAAAATGAAAACTAAATTCGTTAAGGGTATAATAGTCTTTTTAGTTTGGACAGGGACCAAAACTACAAGTAAACTAGCTCAAAAGGACTATCAATCCAAAAAAGTCGTGGTTTGGACTAAAACCCCCAAAAAATGACAATTTTTGCATTTTTGTCAATTTTTAATTTTCAAGTCTTAAATCATAACAAATCCGATTTACGTTCATATTAACATCAATACAAGTAGTTACCAAAAGGATCGTATGTTACTGACGTGATGATCTAAGTCGGACGCTACAAACTTCATGTCTTTCTACATCGTCTACATAACCTGAAAGGCATAAAATAACAAACGAGTAAGTTGCAACGAGCTTAGTGAGTAACCATGTCTTCCATATATAATTTAGTTACACCACTAAATATCATTATGATAATAAATCCATACAATTCTCACAATGCCTTTCTAACCAATCAATTCATATTCGGTTCCAATATTATTATGCAAAATTCCTTAATGATCAAGATCACAACTAATCAAGTTGTTATTTGAACCTATAACTATTCATAGTAGACTTACAACCACGCCTGCTACTATTCAATCCAAATAACATTTCTTCAGTAGCATCATAACTATGTAATCTACCATTATTCTCTAATAACGTTCTTACAAGTATAACGTTAGAAACACCAAGTCTGCCATTGACTTGTATTTCCGCCAATCATGATATTACGACACCAAGGCTACCATCATCATTCTAATACAATGGTGTTACAGTCACCAAGACCACCACAATGATAGTTGATTCTTAGATGTTATAATAGTATTTACATCACCAAGCATGTCACTACAATCAATACTTGCATCCAAGTTAATACAATGGTATTTACAACACCATGTATACCACTAAAATCAATTCTAACATCCACGATAATACAATGGACTAACAACACCAAACATACCACTACAATCAATACTAGCATCCAACATAATACATATCTATATCTATATCTATATATACTTATAAAGGAAACATTTTTTCTTTCACCACATTCATTTGAACTCCCATGACTTTTCAATTTCTTTCTAACAATGATTATAAGTTGGTTAATAAGGTTAAATAAATATCAAACTTAGAGTGTAATCATATATAAACTAAATTTCAATATTAAAATAATATCTTACTTCTATTTATAAAGTTATATCATTAACTTTTTAACGTATTATACTTAATTTATTAGTTTTAATATGTTGTTGTATGTAAACCATTATCATTTTGAAGCTGTAAATTTTGAACAGTTTGGATAAAATTCTTAAATTGTTAAATAAAATATAACATTACAGGGTCAACTTAAATATAAATTTTAGTTCAACTTAAACAACTCAAACAATATTTTATAAATAGTTAAAAGTGATAAATTGTAGTGTCTTTCTAATAATGATTATAGGTTGGTTAATAATGTTAAATAAATATCAAACCTAAAGTGTAATCATAAAGAAACTAAATTTCAATATTAAAATAATATATTTACTACTTTTTATAAAGTTATGTCTTTTACTTTTAACATATTATACTTAATTTATTAGATTAATATGTTGTTGTGTATAAACCATTGTCAATTTAAAGCTACAACTTTTGAACAGATTGGATAAATAATTAAATTGTTAATTAAAATATAACATTACATGGTCAACTTAAATATAAATTTCAATTCCATTTAAAAAACCAAAAGAATATTTTGTGAATAGTTAAAAGTGATAAATTGTAGTGCTAAATGCAAAAACTAAATTGTAATCTCAATTTAACTAAGATATTTTCTAAAGATATTTTTATAATCATTAAAAGTTTTCCAATAAGTAGCTTAAAATAACTTACAATAACAATAGTTAAAAATAATTCTATATAAATGATTATATTGTTACCTTTAAAAACAAAAAACAATGTTTGATATTTTAAATAATTACAATGATAGAAATTAAAACGTTAAGCAAATAAATTTTTAAAAAATAATTAACAATAATAACAAACTATATAACATTAAACCATACATTATTTAATTTGATTCCTGAGTAACCCGTGGGTAGAGGTCATTCAAAAGATTTGGATTATGCAGTTTTAATAGATTTATATATTATCATATAATTCAAAATAATCAATATATTATGTCAACTTAGTATACGAATTATTATATCAAATTTAACAAAAACATTACTGTTATATTTAAGAAAACATATATTTGTAAAGATTTCAACTATATAGATGTTTCTGTACAACGCGCGGGGATTCGTCTAGTGTATTTATAACACCAATCATACCACTACAATCAATACTGGCATCCAAGATAATACAATCGTGTTTACAACACCAAGCATACCATTACAATCAATACTTACATCCAAACTATTACGATCAAATCATCAATCACATATAATGCAATTTGTATTCATACTACATAAATTATGAGCATGTTAGGTAGAGAGATTTTGGTTTTCAACTAAGAAAAATTCGAAGAAAAAAAAGTTTCATTCAATAATAACAGTGATTAATTTTTTATTTTAAACAAAAAAAACTCGTAATCAAAAGGTAATTCAACTATTCAAGTACCTTTAGAGTTTTTAGCTTTTGATTTTTATCTAATTTTAAAACTATTTTTTGTCGAATATTTATGGACAACTAAAAACTATACGTTCTAAACAGTTTTACCAAGCACTACGTCATTCAAACAATTATATATTTAGAATAAAAAATGACTTTGGAGGTTTAATCCTTTCGAATCTACTTTGAGCAATTTTCGACCCACGTATCCAATCCATTTGATTTAATTTGTTTATGGCCTATTTTTTTCAAACCATCGGAAATAAAATGATAACTTAGTGAATTATTTTCAGGCAAACACAATCAAACTCATAAACTCAAGGCATTATTATACAATTCTTGAAATTTGGTGTTATACTATTTAGTACTCTCTATGTTTTGAGATAATAAAATGGTTATTGTCATTATAACCCAACAAACTTTAGTATATTGGTTTAAATGATCATTCATAATTTTTTATGGTAGTTTAGGGGCATTAAGTCTATTTTTACCTGCTAAAAAAGGCTTAAGACTTGTTATTACCGGTATCCTTGATGACGTGGCTTTTTTCACAAGTTATAAGAATTAACCTAAAATCCACCTCACAAATTACCAAATCATAACCAAAATCTACTCAAACACTTAAAATATCGGCACCATATTAGAACATTCTTTTCTTTCTTCATCCTCTTCGACTCATTGCAATCAGAATCCTGTTCTTCCCATACGACCCTTTCCCGTCGGCTTGCTCCGCCACAAAACTCAGCGGATTCGCCTCATAAACAACCAGTTGCTCCAGCGTCATATCGTGTACATAATCTATACCTTCGACTTAATGATTCTCCTGATCTAACCTCACAACCTCATCGTTGCTACCATATTGAGCTTGAACATGGTCTTTATTAAGCTCGTCGGAGATCTGTTCAACTAGTTGCTCCAGCTTCATATCGTGTATAGGATCTGCAGCTTCGACTTCGTGATCGTTGTTAAGCTCGCCGGTCTTTTCTTCATTTTGTGATTCCACTTGTGGCTCAAGAGCGGTATTTCTGATTTTTTCACCATCATCTTAAGATTCTTTTGTAGTTTCACTTATGGTTTCAGATTTTACAAATGTTAACGAATCAAGCTTCTCTTGTAAACCGACAAGATCTTTTGCCACCGATTTCCTAACATCTCTCAGAATCGGATGCAAACGCTAATGAATCGCATATCAAAGAACGAAATTATGATTCCAGCAACAAAAAAATTATAATTGAGAAGATAAAGAAATGAAGGTATACTTGAATCGTGTCTAGCTTTAGGTGAAGACTCATTATGGTCTCTTTGATAATCAATTTTGCTTGTCATCCATGGATGACTCCAGATCCTAAATACGATTTCTCAGCTCAACCACATGTTTTCCAACTTGAGCAATTTGCCTTAATTTCATCAACGGCCGAGATTTCCTCACTTCAAAACCACGATACACAGACTGTATCATCAACACCGCTTCAATCGCATTAGGTGTTACACGTGGCAATTGAGTTGACATCTAAACCTGCTGATTAGGATGGGCGTCACTGGGTGACCCCTTCAAATTTTCAAAAATGACATTTTAAAACCTAAAAATAAAGGTTGGTGCCCTTCAAATGCAAAAAATAGTTACGAATGACCATTTAAACCAATATACTAAAACTTATTGGGTTACATTGACAATAACCCGTAATAAAATGTCTTTAAGATATCTAATTGTTATAAAAGTTTTTCTGATCTTCATCCTTACTTTTTGGTCTACATGTCCAACATAGTGCGGAACGAGTTAGATTTTTCTTGGTATATTTATCCATTTTGCTTTTCATTTAGTCATTTTCTGTTCATTGTTTGTGCACACGTATAGTAGCGATAAGAAAGGGAAATTCATAAACATTTATATTTTATACAAATTGTTATTGATTTTTTTGTAACATATGGTAAAACAAAAGGGACATAATCTCACTTTACAATGCTATCATTTAAAAATGAATATGGACCACGAGACATAGCACTTGCAAATCAAATGTTTATAGCTATCACCATCAATACAATTAAAAATCGTTTTACTTGTGTCCCACTAATTTTACAATTATCCTCGATATCAATACATTTACACATCTTTAAAAAATGATCTTTATTGCCACATTTTACAACCTAACAATTTTTCATAGCACCTAGAATACATCTATATAAATAAAATATAGAATACATCTATATAAATAAAATATTGATAAATATATATTATTTAAAATAATTATATATTTAAATTAACTAAGTAATAATTTTTCACATTAAATCGATAAAAAAAACATTGTAACTTTATAGGCTATAATTTAAACAGATATTAAAACTATATCATGTTAATAGCTTTTACATCTAAATTGTGCATTAAAAAAATTGATTTAACTTATGTTTAGTTAATTTAGATTAATATCTTTAAATATCATATTATCTCAGTGGTTTTTATTCGGGCTTGCACATTAATAAAATAAAATATTATTATGATTTAATACTATTTTTAATATTATAATAATAACTTATTTAGCAATTTTTCAATTTCGACATGATTATTATTTTAAATATCAATCATTGTTTTTAAAGTAATATTTTTTTTAAGTTTATATTACTTTTAACTAATAAAAACTATTTTTCTTTTTTGAGATTTTCATTCTTATAAAAAATAGGTTTTTTTTTCAGTTTTCAGTTAATTTGATTTTATGTTTTTTATTTACACAATATTAATATTTTTTAACTATTAAAAAAAATATTATTTTGACATTTTTTTAATGTTAATATGATATTTTTAGGTTCTTATTTAACACCATATTTAAATTAATTAATTAAGCATATTAGATGAATAATTCAAAAGTTATAGTATTACAAAGATAATGTTTTACATCCTTCGGCATATTTAAATTAATAAAGAAGGTATATTAGGTTTAAAGTTGAAATGTTACCATTAAAACTAGATTAACCAAAAAGTTGTTATATATAAGAAAAATATCATAAGTATCAATTAAAGTACCATAAAAATAATAATAATAATAATAATAATAATAATAATAAAAAAACGTATAAGTTGTAGTGGTTAACTATTTGAAAGTTTAATAGTTTATTATTAAAATAAGTTTGTATTTTTTTTTCAAATTAATGTGGTTTAATATATTAATTAAATAACTTTTGAGGTCTTAATGTTAATTAGTTGAAAGTTGAAAATTTTTGTAAGTTTTAAATGTATATAAAATAAAATGACATCTATTATAATAAATATATAAATCCTCAAATCTAATTCACACATGATATAAATTTAATAAAAATGTTATTAATGTATATTTTTCAATATATAACATACTTACAAAAAATAAAATATAACATAATAACATAAATAGTGTAAGAATGTAATAAATAGATATTAACTAAGAAATGTCACACCCCCAAACCAAGGATGGCGGAAACGTTCGGGGGTGGAAGACTTCATGTATAGTATCACAACAACGAGTATAATAGTGCCCAAAGTAAATACAACCATCATAAATATAATTGAAAAAGTTATACAATAGTATGTGTTTACATGTTTCCAATCAATTACACTTATGATGACAAAAATGAAATGTTTGACGATTTAACGTCCCATCCTCGAAAGCGGTTGATTTCCTGTTTCACTGAATTCCTGAGAATACAAGTAGTTTGAAAAAGCGTCAACAATTAAGTTGGTGAGTTCATAAGAGTTTTATTTGAGAAAGAAGCCGTTTTCCTTGTAAAAAGCGATAGAATATGATTCCAGAAAATTTAATATTTTCCTATGTTATGCAATAATGTACTCTAGAAAGACCTGTAGATTCCTTCTATAATCACCCAGTGTATATAAGTTATATAAAATTTAAGTTAAATAAACGGTCGAATATAATGGGTCTGCCCTAGGTCCACAACCAAACAAGGAACAGGAAGTAAGGGGGGCCCACCAATTCCTAGGTCGATTACGACTAGATTCTTATATAACTCTAGCATATACACTTAGCAATTATAGCTGAAGTCTAACAAGTCTAGATGAGATGTAGTTTTGATAGAAATATGTTTCCAAAGAAAATCCAATATTTTCCTTATAAAAGTCATGTAGTCCTAAATGTTAAGACAGAGAATATGTGTGTGTTTTTGTACTTATAATGTTCATAATGGAAATGTGTTTCCAAAGAAAATCCAATATTTTCCTTATAAAAGTCATGTAGTCCTAAACGTCAAGACCGAGAATATATACAATATTTTCCATACTTAGAGTAATTCATGCAAGTTTAAATCGGCATAAATCGTTTAATTTAGAAGTAAAACCCCTTTCAAAGTAGAATTTTTCATGTAACTTGAAAGATTGTTAACTCCCTATGTGAGTCGCTATAACATACTACGATTTAGAATAACCTGCTTACGACGTTCTTCAGCGTCGGAATCGAAATGACAATGACACTTTCCCCCCGACGGCCGATCGGACTTATGCAAGCAGCATGGGTGTGGGTTGTCAATCCCAATATAGATCTATACACAATTATCACGCTCTCCCTACAAGAAGAGACTCTGGTTATAACTAATTCAGGATTTTCTATGGTACTTAAGAGTACCCCCGAAGGAGAATGTCTCACAACTTACGTTAACTAGTTTACATATAGTTTTGAGTATAAAACCTCTTCCGTGGAGGAAGTGAAATCACCTTTTATGAAAATACATTTGTGATATAAATACATAAACTATTACTATTATATGTTTATCAAGTAGTATATGAAAAACCCATTTGTTTTGAGAGTAAAACATTTTCCATGTAGTATGCTTTTATCGAAAATTCATAAACTATACTTAAAGTAGTTATTATATGTGTTCGAAATGAATGGAGGAAAAACCTTAACATGAATGACTAATTTTGTTTATGATGATAAAACTAACAAGAATGCATCCAAACATTGAGAAACTTATTGTTATGCACTTTGCTCAACATACTAAAAGTGTTATTAATAAGGTAAACTATGCAACTAGTTTTTATCCTTTCTGCACTGTTTTGAAATTATCATAGAAAAATCATACGGAGTCGAAACTAACTCCGTAAACTCTGAGAGTTTAGAAAATGTGTCTAGTTTATTCATAATTTTTATTATGATTTTTAGAAGTCTCTAACTTATGTGAAAGTGTTCATAATCACAGACTGGTCTGAATTCGTTTCTGAAATGATAGGCAGTTTTGTAAATATCACCATAAATCGTAGAAAAATCATATGGAGATGTGAAGTAGTCATTTTAAAGGTATAAACCTGAAACTACTTGCATATTAAACAGTTTTGAAAGATATTAAGTTTAAGTTGGGTAAAAACAGTTCGTGAATAGGTCACAACTTTTCTGTTGTAAGCTGTCAAGTTGAGTTTTGAATATGTTTTGGTGTTTTAACTTGTATTCCCCCCCCCCCCCCCTTGAAAACTGAAGAAAACTAGAAATGTAGGGTATGAACTCACCTTGAGTGATTTCTTGTAGAGTGAAAGGTTGAAGATGATGAGTTTCAAGTCTAGATCACTTGATGAACACACGAAGTTTTGGATGATCCTAAGAACGATTTTTGGTGTGAAGATATGAGTCGTTAATCCAAGAGTGTTATGAAAACATGTAATAACACTTGAGTTAGAAGGAAATAATTACCAATAAGTGAATAAATGACTCAAGAACACATCAAAAGTGTGGCTGAAAGTTGAGAGAAAAGAGGCCCTCTTGATGGTATAAGAAGTGTATAATTTTGATGGGAGATTTGGGAGAGATTTCACATACTTGGAGAGATTTGGGAGGGATTTCACATACTTGAAGAGATTTCACATACTTAGAGAGATTTGGGAGAGATTTCACATACTTGGAGAGATTTGGAAGAGATTTCACATGCTTGGAGAGATTTGGGAGAGATTTCTCATACTTGGAGAGATTTGGGAGAGATTTCACATACTTGGAGAGATTTCACATTCTTGGAGAGATTTGGGAGAGATTTAACATACTTGGAGAGCTTCACATACTTAGAGAGATTGGGAGAGATTTACATGCTTGGAGAGATTTGGGAGAGATTTCACATACTTGGAGAGATTTTACATACTTAGAGAGATTTGGGAGAGATTTCACATGCTTGGAGAGATTTGGGAGAGATTTAACCTTAGCCATTATTATCGCATAATCTCGCAACTGCAAGGTTCGCGAACCCCGTTATGCTTCGTTAATGATCGTTTTAAGTCCCCGAAAGGGTCCTTAGTCGTTTGTTTTGATGCGTTTTAACTCCCTTTTTAGGGTTTTTACATGTTAAACACCATACATTCTTCGAGACACTTGAATTTTGACATAAGATGCACATTTTTATGCATAGAATAACTTTTAACAACAAGTACTAGTTAAGTTTGACCGGTTTGACTTGTTGACTTTGACTTTGACTTTGACTTGAATTTGACGGTTGTCACAAGAAAGAAATGGAACCTAATTGTTTTGGATCCAATCCATGGAAATTAAAAGAAAA